TTTGCTCCCGCCCCGTTGAGAGAGGATGGCCGGGAGGAGGGGCTCTGGGGGCCCAGAGGGGTGGAGATCGGCCTGCCGGGGAGGCGGGCGAGCGGGTGGCTTCAGACCCGCGGTGTGAAGGAAGGTCCGGTGGCCTGGCGGCTGGCGTGGTGCAGGGACGGGCAGGAAGGGCCATGGTGTGTAGGCGCTGAGGCGGCGGGGGCAGAGGACGGAGGAGCACAGCCCGGACACCTCCCCCACCTGGCCTCGGGACTCAGGCAGGGCCAGGTGCGTGGGGGCGGCACCACGGAAAAACGTCCCCTGAGGACCGGCTGCGGCCGGTTCCGAGGAGGCACAGCCCAGAGGACACGACCCGGGGGCCTGACGGTCTCCGGCCGGAATCCCTGAAGCCCGGTCCCGCCCCCGGCCTGTGTTCCCGCCACGGGCCACAGATAAGCGTCCCCCACCGCGCTTGGGAGAGTTTTCCAACACCTCATCAGGAGAAAAACAAGGGAAAAACCACACACGCTGGTGGAAACTGCCCCACGGAGCGGCCGCCAGGAGCAGCCGCCCGATGGGACCAGAGCCCAGAACCGCGCGGCCCGCTGGGTGCAGACGCGCCCCGCCTTCCCTGGCCCTGCTCGGCCGAGCGTCCCGGAGGAGCCTCCCGCTACAGAGGTCCGCGCGTCCATGTTCAACGTGCCGACCAGAAGGTTCCGGGTGCCTTCCGGGTCGACTGGTTCGAGGCCGGCTGACGGATCCGACGCCAGGACTTGCGGCGCGGCGGTGGGTGGCGTTGGGCGAGGTCTCCAGACGGGAGAGTCTCCGCGGCTGCCCGCGTGTCTCCACCGAGGAGGAGAAGCCACTTCCTAGCCCTGGCTGGGGCCGCTTGAGACGGCCGGGGTCCGGGACACCTGGGAGTGCGGCACTACGATGGTGGCCGGGAACCCGCTCTGGCCTCTGCCTCCCTCCGGCAGCCACGCGACAGGCGGGGACGAGAGCGCCGCCCCGCCAGGTCGCCTCCCCGCTCTTACGCGCTTCTCTTTCCGCAGCCTCTGGGGAAGTCCCGGCTCTGGCGCGTGTGGCGCGTGGAGCAGGGCGCCTCTCCTTGCCGGAACGGACACCTGCGCCCCGAGCGCCCAGGCGCCCCGACGGCCTGCGTGCGGCCACTCCCGCCCGCTCCCTCTCGCACCTGCTTGCACGTGGAGGCCACGCCAAACACGCAGCGCAGCCTGGCGAGAAGTACCTGCGCTGCTCTTAATGCAGACATGGCATAAAATAAAATTAAAAAAAAAAAGCCGTTCTGCTAACCTACAAACGCTACTTCCTAATAAACACGTTCGCCGGAGACAGAAAGTCTTGTTTCAAAAGAAACGCCGGAGAAGCAAGAGGTTTCCCGTGAACAAGCACAGACGCCCCTCGACGGGAACTCGGGGCTTGTGAGTTGGGGAGCTCCGGAGCGCCACAGCCGGGGCAGGTCTAGAGCAGCGTGCGGGTGACGCCGGCGTCCCCGGCAGCTGCCGAGGACGGAGCTGCTTCTGCGCGGGAGCCGGCGCGCCCCCGATGGCACTCTCGGAACATCCGAGCGGAAGAGTCTCACTGCCAACCTGCTGGGCGGGGCGAGGCCTCGCAGCATGGACTCGGGGACGTGGACATGCTCACCCAGGAGGAAGCCGCTGTGGCCCCCTCCGAGCTGGCACAAACACGCACGAGCCGGCGGCCCTGGACGCCACTGGCTGAGCCCCCGAACGCCACGGACACGGAAAGATGTCCGGAGTCCCCGCAGAAGGGACGGGTACAGACACTTTCAGGCCACGCTATGACGGGTCCTGTCCTCGCTCGACCCATCCCGCCAGAGTGGGCCAAGCTGCGCTCACTGTCTGGCAACGTCCTCCAGGAAAGCGGGGCCCTTGCAGGGGGAAGGCGCTTCTAGACATGAGACCGGCAGACCTGGAGACCAGACCGGGCACGACTCGATTTCTCCCCTAGAGACCAGGGTAATGAACGACCCCGGGGTGTTTTCAAATCAAAGCTAACTTCTGGAACAAACCGGAAATAGGAAGCCAAACGACAGCTTCAGGCCTTGGGTTTCTTTCTTTCTTTTTTTTTAAATAATGTTTTAAAAAAAAAACGAGCCCTTTGCGGGTGGGGGTCACAGGAAATAGGACTGCTCATTTCAAGAAAGACAACACTCATTTCTTCGCACAAGCGGGCCGTTCAACTTCCCTCGCCTGACTTTTCCCTGCCCGGCACAGAGTACCTGAGTCATGTGTGAACGGCTTTTTTTTTTTTTTTTTCAATCAGCATTTAACATTTTTCCACCAGAAAATAAACGGAGTGCTGTTCAAGAAACTCCAGATAAAGCGGGTTTTGTTTCTGGCTTTGATTGACAATGTCACCATCTCGTACATGTCCACGGTGTGCATCGGCTGCCGACAAAACCAAACCAACTGCGGTCGTCACGTATTTACAGGAGGCCGAGGGCCAGGAACGTGCCGGGGTCTCGGGCAATTTTTAATGAGCCACGGGATAGCCAGCACGGTGGACATCACCAAGATGGCTGGGAAAGAGCCCCGGTGCTTTCCGTTCATGGATACGGCCAGGCTTCTTCTAAAGCAGATACCATCTACAAACAACACGCCTCAAACCGAATGATAAAGCAGAACACTTAACGAATCTGGGTGAAGAAAGGCTAGGTTTAAAAGCGGGCGCACAGCACAGGGCGGGGCCGGCTCCGGGGAGACAGCAAACTTCTCAGTGCTCAGGGAACAAGAGTCTGTGCGCCGGGAGGGGCCGAAGGGCTTCCTCAGGCGACGGCAATCTGGAATATTTTTCCTCTGAGACGAAACAAAGCCAGGCTTTCAAAATCCCAGGATCAGCTTCTGAAAAGGCACTTAGCTTTACTAAGCGGCTTTTTGGAGCCCTTTATTTTTGGTTTTTTGGCAAAAGGAAAGGGCTTCAGAGTGGGTTGTTCTAGATCGCATTCCTTTTTTTTTTTTTTTTGGAGACAAAGTCTCAGTGTGTTGCCCGGGCTAGAGTGCCGTGGCATCAGCCTCGCTCACAGCAACCTCCAACTCCTGGGCTCAAGCGATCCTCCTGCCTCAGCCTCCCGAGTAGCTGGGACTACGGGCATGCGCCACCATGCCCGGCTAAGTTTTTTCTTTATATGTTAGTTGGCCAATTAATGTCTTTCTATTTTTAGTAGAGACGGGGTCTCGCTCTTGCTCAGGCTGGTTTTAAACGCCTGACCTCAAGCAATCCGCCCATCTCGGCCTCCCAGAGTGCTGGGATTACAGGTATGAGCCATATCCAGCCAATTTCTTTCTATTTCTAGTAGAGACGGGGTCTCGCTCTTGCTCAGGCTGGTCTCGAACTCCTGACCTTGAATGATCTTGCCCCCCTGGCCTCCCAGAATGCTGGGATTACAGGCGTGAGCCGCCTCGCCCGGCCTACATTGCATTTCTTTTTTTCATTACAGCTGGTGACTGAAATAAAAGTAAAACAAAACAAAAAAAACAAAAGAACCCAAATTGCTCGTCATCTGCTGCCCTGCCCGGGGCCTGCGTGGGTGCCCGCTGCACACAACACACATCTAGGCAGAACCGCCGGAGACTGCGCACGGGGACCTCGCAGGGGACGGCGAGCCCTGATGTGACTTGCGTCGCCTTGTTTTCACGCTTGGGAGGCGTGCGCCGTCCTGGCTTCCAAACGACCAGAGGGCGGGAGCGAGGCCCTCGCGGGGCGGAAACGATGCCGAGAGTCCGCCCGCCCCAAGGGCGGCCGTGGGCGCGCCCCGCCACCTGCCGGAAGAAAACGTGCCCCCCTCGCGGCGGACTCTACGAGCCGCAGCGCTTTTTTTATTGGGAAACTTTTCCTTACAGAGGCGCAGGACCGAACAGACAGCACGGCAGCCGGACGGCACGCGGCACCGAGAGACGAGAAAGCCGGACAGCTTCGCCCACCGAAAGAGACACGGATAAACGAGTCGGTCGGCCGGCCGCCCGCCCCGGGAGAGCTGCAGGCGGGGTGGGAGGGGTGCCGCGGGGCGGGGCGGAGGACTCAACTTACAGAGGTGAAGTCGGCAAAGCCGGAGGAAGAGGCCTTGGGAGGCTTAGCTGAAGAGGAGGGGACAAATGGATCTTTTCCACTAAACGGGTCCCCAAACCCCTTTTTATTTTGGAACGGGTCGCCGCTGTCAGCCCCGAGTGGCTGGAACGGATCGGGGGGTTCGGGGAAGTCTGCAGAGCCGAGCTGGCTTACGGGTGTACTTTTACCTGGAAAGTTTAGGAGAAAACAAAAACAAAAAACAACAAAAAAAAAAAAAAAAAAAGAGGAGAAAGAAAGAAACATAAGTGACTCAGCACTGACACAGCAGAGGGACTGAGCTGGGTGACACCCCTTGCCTCTCTGGGGACAGACCGCCTGTGGTCGGCTACGCGGACGGGCCCTAGGAAACCCTGGTGTCATCTGCCTTACCCCAGGAGCTGACCAGGTCGTGGACGTCACAATGAAAACACTTGTGATGACAGACAGACAGACAGACACACACACATACACACATGCACACACGCCAGCTGAAACACGAGCTGCCCTTACAAAGCCCGCACACAGGCGCATCTCAAAGCGACCCACGTGGGCGTGCCGACATACCTGCTACCACACTGCGTTAAAGCAAAATCATGGCTGAGCAGAAAAATACACCGAAAGCTTCTAAAGATCGAAAAGGGGTGGGGGTCCCTTTGCGACAAGAGGGGGATTAGTCCCGCAGAGCAGCGGAACACGGGGCGCGTTAGGGGTGGGGTCTGCGAGCAGCAGCTCCGAGGGGCGGGTTCTGTTTGGGCCTTCCTGGGCTTCTGCGGAGCAGGTGACTCCAGGATGCCTGGGCCCCAGCAAGGCGCATCTCGGCAGGGGCGGGAGACAGGTGTTTAGAGCAGGAGGGAATGAGGCCGTGAGACCATGCGGGGTGTGGCCCGAGAGCAGGTGGCTTCGCCCAATGCGTCCCGCCAACATGCTGGAACATTCCACCAGGAACCCGAAGGCCCCTGGAGACCTGCTCAGTGACGGGAGGTCTGAGAAAGAGGAGCCCCACGGATCTGCAGTTTGCAGACAGGCTGGGCTGACCCAACGCTCCTGCCGGACGCCATGCCACCTACCCGACGGGTGCCCGGGTGGCCGGAGCGTCCAGGGACCAGACACCCGTCCAGTCGCAGCAGCAGCCAGGCTGGCAGCTCCACAGGGTTGGACACGGTTCCAACGTGTTGGCGGAGCTGCCCGTGGCGAGTCCTGGCGCTCCAAGGAAGCCAAGCGCTGCCTGCTACCGCACGGCTGACGCTGGACTCGGGCCGCAGCCAAGAGGGCACCTGGCTCCTGGCTGCGCCCGGCCCTGCCACACCCCAGCCCGGGGACACCGGCTTCCTCACTGGCCTCGGTCCCTCTCCACGCCCAGGCCTAAAGCCATTCTCTCTGCCTCCCCGGCAGGTCACCCACCCCAGGCCACTGTCCTAAGGGCCCCGAGCCGACCCAAGGGCTCCAGGGTCCCTGCCTGCGTCTGCCACCTTTGGCTCTGGGGCCTGGGCAAAGGCAAGCGCCTCCCTCCTAGCTGGCTTCAGTGTCCTTATCTGCCAAGTGGCAAAGAGGAGGGTGGGTCACACGAGGTGACTTGCAGCAGCATGCACAGCAGGCACCTGGCGCTGGTGTGTGTGTGGGGAGGAGGACCAGGCCTGCAGCCCCCCTTCTGGAAGCAGAACTTTTTTTCTTTTGAAACAGAGTCTCACTCTGTCACCTGGGCTGGAGTGCCGTGGCGTCATCACAGCTCACTGCAGCTTCTAACTCCTGGGCTCAATTGATCCTCCCGCCTCCGCCTCCCTCCCAGAGTGCCAGGATCATGGGCGTGAGCCACCGCGCCCGGCCTGGAAACAGAACCTGGGCTCTCAGTTGGGACCAGCTGGCGCCGGGTGGGTGTAACGTACAACTGTGGCCCAGTCTGCGCTCAGCCTCGTTCCCGGCCTTGGGGGCAGAGCCGTGAGCACCGCCCGTCACAGGCCATCGGGGAACCCACAGAGGTGAGCACGGGGCACAGCCCGCCAGGAGCACCCGCTCCTGCCAAAGTCCCCAGCCTCACCCGGACGGAGTCAGGACGTCCTGGCAGGGCTGCAGCTACGGCCACGCGTATGACTGTCGATCCCTGGAACTAGAGGATGCTGCCTGCCCGCTGCCAGGGGGTGGCCCGGGCATCGGCATCTACCTGCGGCCTCCAATCAAGGCGTGGCCAGCCAGGCGCCCGGGAGCAAGGGGCCCACGCAGCCAGCCTCTGCCAAGACCCCGGGGCCACACTGGAGACCCTTCCCCGCAAGGGCGGTGCCCAACCCACGGGGGCAGGAATCTGGGCCCCACTGACCCCCTGGCAGCGCCTGACAGTTCTCAGGGGTCCCCGAAGCCCGGAGCCTTCTATGTCTCCTTCCTTCTCTGCTGCCCCCAGTTGCCCCTCCTGCCTTCACTCTGTGCCATCTTCCCTCCTCCTCCTCCCTGCACCCCCAAACTCCCTGGGCCTGCAGAGAGCAGGGTGGTCTGGCCTGGCCACGGCCCCCTGGCCTTGAAGAACTGTCCCCACCCAGGAAACCCCTGTGCCAAGCGCGCTCCCTGCTCCCTCAGTGGGGGACAGGCAGCTCTGCGGGGGGGGGGGGGGCCACCTCCAGCTCTCCCTCCTCGGCCCCGTCTCCCCGGCCAAACCCCCTGGGGCAGAGTGGGTCTTCCCCCTCCACTCGGCCCTCCCCATGCTCTGGGACGACCCAGCCCCTCGCCCCCACCTGGCTCTGGTCCTTCTAGTGACCCCTGCAAGCAGCCGTGGGGCCACCCCCCACCCCCCACGTCTGCTAAGTGCCTCCTGTCTGCAGTCTCTGCAGCCCGCGCCTACGGCCCTGCCGTCAGGTCGCTCAGCTGCGCGTTTTCTCTTCCGGGGAGCTCCATGAGGCTGGGGGCCCGGTGTGCACCCCGTGTGCCCCTGCCTAGGGCAGCCCGGCGCTCAGATCCCTCTGCTGGCTGGAGCTTCTAAAACGCACACCTCGTCGCACCCACGCCCGTGAGTCGGGAAGACCCCAGCCACCGGCGCCGGCCTCTCCCCCGACAGCCCTCCCCAGTGACCCCCAAACCCCGGCTTCTTTCCTGGCTCTGCCCGGAAGGCGCCCCCAACTCAAATGCCGCGGCAGGCAGGCGGCGCTGTCTGGCGGAAGCCCCTCGAGGACCACCCCCAACCCCGTCACCCCGTGCTCGGCTCTGCGTGGGGAGGGGCAGACGTGCCCTTGGAGACGGTGAGGGGCCCGGCAGCCTCCCTCCTTGGCCTCACAAGGCCACTCCCAGCCTCAGTTTCCTAATTCAAGGAGAGGGCTGAACTACGTCCCCCCCAAATTCACACGTTCAAGTCCTGGCACCCAGCAACTCGGGACCGGACGCGCTTGGAGAGAGGCTCTGCAAGGGAGCTGCAGGAACAGGAGGTCACAGGGCGGGACACAGCGGGCTTCGGCGGGTCCTCGTGAGCCAGGCGCTGCCCGCACTGACTCGGCGGGTCCCTCGGGACCCAGGGCCCTGTGGGCAGCACCTCTGGGGAGCCAGGGGGCAATAAAAGCACCGGGCCCCCCTTGCTTGCAGGAAAGAACCAACACTGACTGCTGGGTGCTTGGGCCGACTGTCTCTCAAACACTTGTCTGATGTGGCTCTACTGGCAACGTTCTCGCACAGCAAACAGTGAGCATTTGCAGGGGACAGGCTGAAAGTGCCCGGGACCGCCTGCAGGCTCTGACCACCTGGGGCAGACCGGGACTGCCTGGGCAGGGGGCCAAGGGAAGACTGACCCCAGCCAGGCCCCCAACAGCGACCGCCGCGGTGCAGAGGTTCAAATGAACTTGCCATTTCTGAGCTGTTTTTCTTCTTTTCAGAGAAGATCTTCCTTCCTCGGTTTGGGGGATTAAAAAAAAAAAAATTTGTTTTCTGGGAGGGGCGGTTTAAGAATCCAGCCCGCCACAATTTCGAGTTGAGGTTTCTGACGAGCAAAGAGATTACTGAAGAGATGAAAAGCCCTGTTCACACCAAGAATCGCCTGCGCCCGGTTTTGCTCCGTTGCCGAAACCATTGTTATTTAGAAATCGTGACAAAGTTAATATGAAACCGGGGCACATCAACTGCTCACCTCTTGTTTTCAGAGGAGGGGGGAAAAAAACGGTTTTTTCTCGGGCGTCTGTGTTTGTGCTTTGGTACAGAGGCGGCATCGGGCCTGACGTGTTCAAGGTCGGCCGCGTCCCCTGCCCAGCTCGGGACCCTGCTTTGGTGCCATCCCCGCGGGGCGCTGCCCTCGGCCCAAACTTCCCGCTTTTGCACATCGATTTATTTTTAGCGGCTGTACTTTTAAAACATACTGGGTCTAGTTCCTGCTTTTATGTAACCACTTCTGCTAACTCCTGAATGGTTTTTCCGATTTTCTGAAGTACAGCTTGTCTCGAACGTGACAAAGTGGCTCTAATCCGCCTCTGAGCCCTGAGGCAAACGCACGGCAACGCACCAGAGCCGGGGCTGCGCGCTTTGTCCTGCCTCCGGGATCTCTAGGGAGGTGTGTGTCGGAGAAGGGGTCAGAAATCATCTGTTATTGAAAAAACAATCAAACAAAAAATTGGCATTACAAACTGGCCAGCAGGACGCCCGCCACACGGCTGGTGCCTTCATTCCTGGGTCTCTGCGGCGGGAACCGCCGGGCCCACGGCGCAGCAGAAGGCGAGAGAACGAACACAAATGCAGCCGGAGCCCCCCGGGCCGTTCTCCCCACCCCCACGCGGGTCTTCATTAACCGGGGGCACGAGGAATGTAAGATTGAAGAAAAGGCAAAATAGAACTTATTTTCAAACCACAGCAGTTTCAACAGTTACCCAAGCGGTGTACCGAAACCACACACAGGACTGACTTTGGCAAAAACAATATGAACCGAATGGTTTACCACAGTGTGTGCTGTTAAAAAAAAAGACTCGGTGGCCGGCCCCACCCTAGTAGAAATTTCTTTAATTCTCCTATTTCTCAAGCTTTTCAGGGCCACGAGAGCGCCTGCACCCGGGACCAGGGCCGGGCCCTGGACACAGGGGGGCCAGCGGAGGTCGAGGGTCTGCCTTTTCTACCTCGCCTGCAGGAAAACCTCTGCCGGAAGGGCCCCCTCGAGGGGGGGGGCAGAAACAATGGAATACAAATACGCACCCCCAAACCCCTAAAAATGGGGAGTACCTCTGAAAACCTGCAA